CCGTCCCCCCCCCCACACACACACACACGCAAATTAAATTAAATCGCAGATGGAGTTTGTAGATGAAAGTTTCGTTAACAAATATTTTAATTGGTGCGAAGTTATTAATTCAGTAATTAATTTCTTTTCCTAGCTGTCAACATGACCACAAATCGGGAGAAACTCGCCCAAGATTTCGGACATCTTAACATTGCTCACTACGCTCCCCAACAATATTCAGCTACAAAAGGTAAAAAAATCGCCCCCGTAGTTCCACCGAAGCCTAAGAAAAAAATAATTCCCGAACTTGCAAACCCCAACGTCCAGTTTTCGCAAACGGAAAAACAGAATCGGGAGAAAAACTACCAGCCAGTTCTAGAACCTGGACATGAGGAAAAGCTGGAACAAAACTACACCCTTCTCCGGGATTCCAAGTACTCCAGTACAGTAGAGACAAAATACCCAGTTAAAGAAGACGAAACTCGTCAGTTAGCTAAACAAAAGTATCTTCCTGTTGAAGATGTTAGATATGAAAGTAACACACAAAAACTTGAGAGTGTCGAAGGTCTTCCGGAGAATCGTTATACGACTTCAACAGAAAAACAAACTCGTACTGTTAGAAATCGGATGGAGCCAGCGCCATCTAGTGGTATGTTTTTTTATTTGGAAAATGAGGTCTTTTTGGTTTGTATTTCATCTAGTCCTTTATGTTCTAATTTTTTAAGTATTTATTTAGTCACTGATTGGTTATTCAAGGAAAAACTAATTACCAAATCCAACTGACTTACCACTGTTATTTCATTTTATCTAAATGCTATAAATTTGTAAAAATACGAATTATTATGTTGAGGATATAATGTTCTTATGGTATTTATTGTACTATGAACCAATAGTCATCGGAAAGACATGGTTATCCACTATTTTTGTTATTTAACGTATAAACAGCCTGACCACATAGCGGTGTGCGTGCTGTTTTCTATCTGCTGTGTCCACCACGGGAAATCGAACCCCGGATTTTAGCGTTGTAAGTCCGTAATTTTACCGCTGTCCCACCGGTAGGCAATTGATGAGTCAAATTAAAATATATCTTTGTTTATTTTTTTTTATTTTAGAGCAAAGCCACATAGGGCTATCTGTTGTGTCCACCGTGTGGAATCGAAACCTGGGTTTTAGCGTTGTAAGCTCGTAAACTTCCAGCTGTCCCTCCAGAGCACACCACTTAGGATTCAGTTAGTACAAATGGTACGACAGTAATATTATTTACTAGTTCGCAGTAATATAGTGTTAGATTTTTAGTGCCTGAGCCCTGCCAAAATTATTAGACGTGACGTCATTATCAAGATAAACATCTCGTACCGAAAACCTAGTTTTCACTCTTTGTAAGCCCATTTAAAATAAAATATATATGGTATGTAATTACATGCAGCACTAATTATTTGAGACTACTTACATGAGTAATAGGCCTGGTGGTTAGGACTTTCGGCTTGCAACCTGAGGGTCACGGATTCGAATCCCTGTCACCGAACATGCTCGCCCTTTCAGCCGTAGAGACTTTAT